TACCAGCAGGGTGCCTTCCTTCTAGAGGGTCTAGAAGACAATGAAGAAATGTTTCCTTGTTTGTTTTTTCCAGTTTCCAGTGGTCACCCACCTTCCTTAGCTTGTGCCCCACGACTTCCTCTATCTTCATGGCCAGCAGCCATTCTGAATATCACTCCATGTCTGCACCTCTCTCCGATCCTAAACTCAGATGGGAAATGTCCTATGCTTGTAAAGACCCCTGTGATTACACTGGGCCCACCTGGAAAATCCAGGCTACTTTCCCTATCACCTCATTTCAGGATCCCCTTGTCTCACCCCACTCAGGCATTATGTATGTGGCTGTGACACTAACCTTGGGTAACATTTCCTCTCGTGAGCAAATAAAGGTTCAAGACACTTGTGAACGGCTTTTTGTTTTTCTTCCTTAGTCTTTCCACATTCAGTACGTCTGGTGAGATTATACAAATCCTGTTTATTTGTAACCCAGCACTAATCTTTAACAACCTATTATGGGTTTAAAAGGCTAATAGCCAATTTAGAAGGAAAATCCTCTAAGATTTTTAAGATTTTTGTCCTAAAATGCGTCATCCCTTTTACTGTCTACAGTAACATGTCACAGGTGGCTTCCCTGAGGGTATGGGGGACACATTGTTCTGCCACCACAGTCCCTTCATTCACACCAATGTGCTGGTCTCCTAACAGAGGATCTATGCTCCCAGCTTTGCTCACTTCCTCCTCCCTTCCATTGACCATCCTGTTCCTACCGCTTCCTTCGTTCACCACATCAGGATTTCATGACCACATTCTTCTCTAAATGGAATGGATATTGTGCATCTAACGTCTAATAATTGTTCTCAGTGTATACGCACACACTCACGTACGTGTCTCCACATCCATCTCTTTATTTTCCTAGAATCGTCCAGAGGAATCCATTACATGATGATGATGATGATGATGATGATACTGACAGTGATGACAGGGGACTCTCTAGGACTGTGATAAATAGAGAATCAATGAAGAGAGGGAATCATTGCATAATTGCCCCAGAAATGGTTAAATGTAAATAACTGTTATAGTGTTAAATGAAATTGACTAAAATTTAACTATTTTTAAAACTTTATATCACAGTATTTTAAATTTTAAGGGGAATTTTCATTCACCACTAACCAAGATTTGAATTTAGGACCAAAATATAAGAGGACTTCTATCTTCTAACAAATTGCCCTCTAGCCTTTTAAACATGTGATTCTTAAAAAAAAAAAAAAGTTTAGTGCTGGGCTGCAAATAAGTAGGGTTCATATAATTTCACCAGACACACTGAATGTGGAAAGACTAAGGAAGAAAAACAAAAAGCCATTCATAATGTCTTCAAACTTACGCTGCACACAGGAGAACACGTTAGCCAAGGTGAGTGTCACATCAACATGAAGCCTGAGTGGGATGGGGAAGCTGATCTTCCTCATCAGACATTTATGTTGATTTGTTAGATGCCAACACAGTTTCCTCATTGGATTTGCTTCTAATAAGTATGGAACAATTAGGCTCTACCATAAGCAGATTAAACATTTTCCCCTGACGCCAAATCTCTGGAATGAATGTCCCCACAAGAGGGACATGATTATATTTCACAGGAAACTCTTCCTGAGAAACAACAGGCTTTTCGAAGGTAGAACTACTGGTACCCCTGGGAGAGCTGGAAGAGGGATCGAGGGGACACTGGAAATACAGGAGGAGTCAGTTCAGATAGTGCTGCTCAAGTAGCAAAAGACATCCTACAAAAAGTTTCGTGAGTGAAGGAGCCTGTGAACACTGAGCAGGTTGTTAAGACACAGCAGTACATAACTAGCATCACAAGTAAATTGTAGCATGTTTTGATATTTGGAAAATAATTAGCCCATTGCTCTTTGAAAAGGCAGCAGCAGCAATAGAAATAATAAACACTGAGTGGTCTTGGAGATAACAAACAATAAACAATTCTAAATCTGCAGGATTCCTTGACAATATGCAAGCGATGAGCAAGATGTGTGCTGCAGATACCTCTTACTGCAGGGCTCACTCCTGCAAAGCACAGAACTAGTATTCTCAGGAGACAGAGGGAACCAAGCCAAGATTTCTACTCTTGAGAGGTTTGCTATATGGCAGGAAAGATCAGACAAATAAATACAGCTAAATATGAATAAATGCAATCAAATATTATGAAGTGTGTATGGAGCACAGAAGAAGAAAAATTCCTTTCACCTGGGGCCTAGAGAAACTTCTTCAGAAAATGTATCTTGGAAGATGGCCAAAGACATGGGTGGAAATTTGGCAGAACAGGATGTAAGGAATTTAAAAACTAATTCTAAAATTCATATAAAAATGCAAAAAATCAAATATCCAAAACAACTTTGAACAAGAAAAATTTTGAAGACTTACACTATTTGATTTTCAGACTTTTTAAATAAAGCTACACTAATCAGAAAGTATGGTATTGTTGTAAAACAGGAAAATAGAATAATGGAACAGAATAGAATGTTCCTAACTAAACCAACATTTAGATGGACAATTGAATCTCAGTAAGGATGCACTGGAGAAAGGATCTTTTCAACAAGTCGTGCTGGAACAATTAGATATCCATATGCAAAAAGAGAAAAATGAACTTTGACCCATACCTCATAAAATACAGAAAAATAAATTCAAAATGGATCATAGACTTAATAGGAAATCCAAAACTATAAAACAGCTAGGAGGAAAAGCATAGGCTTAAGCAATATGACCTTGGGTTTGGCAAATATTTCTTTGCTATGATACCAAAAGTATAATCTATTTTAAAAAGTAACTGATATAGTGAACTTTATCAAAATGAAGACACTTCAAACTCTTCAAAACACTGCTAAGCAAATGAAAAGACAAGCCATAGAGAGAAACTATTTGCGCCAGCTTACCCGCCCCCTGACCGCACTCGCCCACCCCCCAGCAGCAAGCTCACCTGGAGACGGGCGTCCGGCTTCTTGGGCAGCAGAGGCCGCCCCCAGGCCACGCCGCGGGAAGGAGCGGAGCAAACTGCCGGCTCCCGGGCGGCGGGCCCCCTACCCACGTCACCCCCGCACCCTAATTGCACTGCCCCACTCCCCTCCTCAGCAAGCTGAGTGGGACAGGTGTGTCTGGCGACCTGGGGCAGCAGAGGCCGCTCCCAGGCCCGGCCTCCGGGAAGACGGGAGCTAACCCACCAGCTCGCCAGGGGCAGGGCTACTCCCCTCCTCTGCCGCTGCCTCTGCCGCTGCGGCCGCCCCAGACCGAACCACCCCGCCCCCCAGGAGCAAGCTCACCTGGAGTCCGACTTTCGACTTTCGGGGAATTTCCTGCGGCCAAGGCCGCCGTCCCAGGCCAGGCTCGGGGAAGAGAAGGAATCAACCGGCTTGCCTGGGCCAGCCCCCTCCCGCCACCGCCACCCCAAACTCAGCACACCCGCCTCCAGGGGTCAGGCTGACTGCGAGGATGTGCACCAGCCTTCTGATCCTGGCCACAAGCCTGAGCATCTCCCTGCACCCCTACACCAATGCAACCCCTGCAACCCCTGCATCCCCTGCACTGCATGCACTCTTGAACCTCTGCACTCCCTGCACTCCTGCACCCCTGCACTCCCTTCGCCCCTGAACTTCCTGCACCCTCCACAGCCCGTGAACCTAGGCACAACTTTCACCTTGCACCACCTAAATCCCTGCACCCCTGCATGTCCCACACACCACTTCTTGGGCCTGTGGCAGAGCCTCTGCTGTTGCACCAGAGTGCAGGGACTCACATACTTGCCAGTATATGATGCATCAGTGGACCTCTGGGGTTGCCTGCCAGAAAGTATATGTTCCCTGCCACTAGGCTGGGCCACTAGCGTGATCTCTGTGACGTCTCCCAGGACGGGCTCAGAGATGCTGTTCTCTGGGAAGAGAGGAGTTGAAGCCGCTTAGAGGGCAGAGCTGTTCTCACTAGGCCGTCCACGCTTCATGTTTTACACAGGGCTTCACGGAAGTGAAATGGACAAGGCCAAGTAAGACCTGCTGTGTGCCCACCTCAGTCCTGGGCTCTGAGGCAGATCGACTGGCTCCCACCCTCATGGCCCAGTTTGGGCACCTGAATGGTCCCTTGGAGGCATCCCATCAGTTCTCAGGAAGAAGTCTGGCTGCTTCCACCCCATGGCCCTCCCTCCCACTGTGCTGGCCTCAGGAAGTTTCCTTATTTGGAGAAGAAGGCAGCTCACCCCCTACTCCACCCCTCACCATGCTCTCACCCA